AAGCTGCCTCAGTGGCTACTTCTTGCTTCAAGGGAAGTGTGAGAAGTAAGTGTATCAGAAAATTTGCATTGTCTATAATTGTGCTCCAATATTTCATTAGGTGCAATATATTATAAAATTGGACTCTCAAAAGTTCCTCACAAGCATGTTAGAGATATGAAAATATCTCCATCTCAAAGGTTTTCACATGACTTTGTAAAACAATATAATGTTTCTGGACCTAACATCAGTATTTCCATTCCTTCCTATTGTTTGTTTGTAGATGTCAGTGTAATGGCCATGCAGACACGTGTAATGAACATGATGGCACTGGCTGCCCCTGCCAGAACAACACTGAAACCTCATCCTGTCTGAGCAGCCCACAGAATGACCGCAAAGAGTGTTACAGACAGCAGGTAATGGCCAGTTCATTACAACCAATGACATTGCACTCCATATTTCACAAATAAGACCTTGTATGAAATCCTGTTTATTCTTCTTACAGTGTGCGAAATGCAAAGACTCATTCAATGGCAATCCGGTTAATGGGCGGCAGTGCTACCGGCAGTTCAATGTGGACAATGAATGCTGCTTCGACCCCACATCACAGGTCAACTGCTTCCATGAGCCTAACATCCGCAATCTGCTTAGAGGCCGCACAGTGTTTTTTTCGGCCCAGCCCAAGTTCACTAACGTGGATATCCGCGTCACAATTGACGTTACGTTTGGAGAGGTTGAGGTCTTTGTGTCCAATTCACATGACACCTTCATTTTAGAGGTCGACCGCCAGACCGGTGTGCATACCATCAAGATCGAGGACGAGGCCACCTCTGCGACCACTTCACGCGGAGAAAAGGAGGTTCCTCTCGCACCACCGTCACCCATGAAGGTGTTTGCGAACTCCTCATCAGCATTACTCGGCATGCTGCATTCCGCAAAGTCACACGGGACAGAACGTGAGATACGGGAAGAACGAACCGAAGGTCTCATAACCTACATCACTGTGTGGAAGCCACAGACGGTGTTGATTGTACGTGGCGTACGGGACCGTGTGGTCATCACCTTCCCACACGAAGTGCACTCGCTCAAGTCCAGCCGCTTCTATATCGCCCTGCGTGGTGTGGGCACGGATACTCATAACGGAGAGTCCCAAGGGCTCCTCTTTCTCCGACAGGACCAGGCACACATTGACCTCTTTGTCTTTTTCTCTGTTTTCTTCTCCTGCTTCTTCCTCTTCCTGTCCGTCTGTGTGCTGCTCTGGAAAGTCAAGCAGTTCTTAGACTTCCGCCGCGAGCAGCGGCGCCACATTCAAGAGATGACCAAGATGGCCTCTCGTCCATTCGCTAAACTCACCGTCTACCTAGAGCCAGATGAGCCGCAGCTGGTTTACTTGCCTTCGGCTGGAGGGGGTAGCACCGTGTCCCTGGCCCACGTACGGACAGGCAAGCTTGGTGGCATGGTGATGGGCCAGAGGGGACGACCTGGAGCTCTGTCCTACAAACACGACCCTGGCACAGGCACTGTCACTCACCACCACCACCATCTCGCTCTGAGTGGAGGCAACAATGGGCAGCACCTTCCCCTGCACTACCTGAACGCTCACCACTACGCACCCAGCTCTACGGCAAACCCAACCTTGCATCACCACCACCATCATCCGTCCTCACATGGCAGCTACCAGCATTTCTGCCGCTCCGATCCCTTCCTGTCCCAGCTCATGGGCTTTTCGTACTCGTCCTTCAAAGTTGGGCCAATCACTCTGGAGCCCACAGATGACGGGATGGCAGGAGTGGCCACCGTGCTCATACAGCTGCCAGGAGGCATACTTGCACCCAACCGGGCCTGCTTGGGTTCAGCGCTTGTCACTTTGCGGCAGAATTTGCAGGAGTACTGTGGACATGGAGGTGCGGGAACGCATCCCGGCGCCGGGGGCGGCCGAAAAGGCTTGCTGGGCCATCAGCATCTAACCACCATGGCCATGTGAAGAGAACGTACTGAGAAATAGATTGAAAAGGAAAAAACAATCATGAGAGAGAACAGGAAGGACAAAGGAAGTTGCAGAGATGTTAAAGGGACAGTCCACCCAAAAAATTTAAATTTTGTCATCGTTTACTCATCCTCATGTCATTCCAAACATGACTTTCTTCTGCGCAACACACAAGAAGATTTTTTTTTGAAGAACTGTTTTTGTCCATACAAATAAAGTCAATGGGTTCCAAAACCAAATGACATTGGAACTCCACTGACTTTTTACCAAACAATTTTGGACCCCATTGACTTTCATTGTATAGATGAAAAAACAGAACATTTTTCAAAAATGGGTTCCGTTGTTTTTGAACGAGTAAATGATGAAAATTTTTTGGTTTGCTCTGTTGAGGGTTACAAAAGGGATGTATTAATTATAAGAGAGGAATAAGGTGAATCATAGGAAATGTGATTTGTACATATACTGTAATTAATTATTAGGTGTCGTTTACTTGTTTATCACTCCTAAAAAGCTCCATATTGACTTAAAGCAGCAACCTTTATGCAATGCTCTACTCATATCTCCATGCTTTGTTGCTGCATTTTTTGTCCTATATACACTACTGAAATCAGCTGGACAAGCTGACGACTATGGCATGACATCGACTGGTGAAAAAGTTGTCTTTGCAGCTGAATCAATGTGCTTTATATCCTCATGTGACAATCTGAACTGCCATCCAAACCAAGAGACGGTGCAACATGTCCGCTTAAATGTGCAAAACATTGATTGTCTGCAAAAAATGGGCACAGATGTTGTAAAAAAAAATTTAGCTGTAGTGCTTTTGTTACTGGTATTTTGTCATGGCTGTGATTGGTCAATGCTTCCTGTAATATAGCAGATTTGAATCTAGTCAATAGGTCTGTTTCATGGTGAGCCATTGGCTTATTTTTATACATATTCATTCAGACTAAAGACGCATTTCAGACTGTCAGTTGACGGTTTATGGTTACACGTCCTTTTTTGTTTGCATTAATGACATGCCTTTACTCACTTTGCCTTGACCAGACGTTAATATAACTGTGTGACATCCTCGCACTCCTTTTGTATTAAATTTAGGTTTTAATTTCTATTTGAGTTTAGGCCATTAATCTTTAGTGCTGCAATTGTGTGTGTATATATATGAAGGAATAAGCTGATTAACAAGGAACGTTAAATTTTTTTTTACATTGTGTAGGAAATGAAGGATACTACTTTTTTATTTTTCCCCTTTCTTACACTACTTATTTCATATTACTTTAATTTTTATAGGAAAACTTACAGCATGTATTAACAGTGTGCTAGTGTTTTATTTCCGATGATCAATGAAATCACACAAGCTGGGTTGCTGCAGCATTTTTATTTCAGTGATGGGTTATGTTTAGCTAGATATATGAGATCTGTTGAACAAAATGTGCAATGGAAATTTTAAACATTAAAATAGAGTATGCTCCTGGTGAGACACTATAAAGTAATGAAATGAAAAGGAGAAAACACTGAAAATGCTACAGTTTGTTAAAGTATTGCCATTTATATGGAAATTCTGTTGTTTTGCTTTATTGACGTTTTTTTTTTTTGGAGGATGGACTGTTATTTTCTGATATGTGTAATCTGACTGGTATTTATGTAGGACAGGTTGATGTAGAAAGTTACTTTTTTTTGAGAATTAAAGTCATGGTAAATTAGAAGATATTTTGAAAAGTGTTCATTTGACATTATGATTATTTAATGTAAATAACAGAAACATAACAGGAGAAGCCATATGTTTATCTCGGATTCCAGAGAAAGCAAATTTAAGCTAAGTTGGTTAATTTGTTAGGTTAAACCAGAAAAAGTGATTGTGATATAAATTATGCACAAGACCAAAACATTTGATTTGGGTTTGAATATGGTAAAGCAAGCTTTGTGTTCTGTTCAGACATTTTCAAATGCTTTTACAGTTTTTACTGTGGTTGGTGCACATGCCTTTGATGCTTAACAGCGGTTTGTATATAATAAAATATAATCCATTAATAGTTACCTGGGTTTGTTGTGTTGTCTTTGTTTTTGTACCTGATTTGACACTTACTTCCTCTA